GTGAGTAGTCTCTTAATTGGGTGTTAGGGTTCTAAGTAGGGGATTCAATGAATTGATGGTTTGATTGTTGTTTGGAGTTCTTAATCTTTAAGTTCTTTAATTCACATGTTCTTAATGCTAGAATAGGATTGATCACCATGTTTTAGATTCTAGATTTTTCTATGCATCAAAAGTGTTCGATAGAATGCCCGAACCAATGTGATTTGAGCAATGTATTTCTAGCCAACGAGAGTTGATGCTAGAATGCATTGTGAACCTAATGAACCTAATTGTAATGCGAACTTGACTAGGAAATTACATGCGAAAGTTTAGTAATCGAGTAGTCAAATTTAGTGATTAATGTCTTGAGAGAGAATTAGTCTAAACTTGTGTTCATGTTCGAGAACGGTTCTTTATGCTGAATTCCTTGTTTATTATTTCTATTAATCATTGTTCTCTGAAATACCATATTGCCCAATGTCTTTAAATCTTGGAAGTTAAATCGTTTAATTTATTTGCATTTTTATTTTACAATCTGATAACTCAAACAAAAACCATCTTTCCGCTTTAGCTAAGAACGAGTCTCGGAAATCTTTAGAGTATCTTTGGTCTTTGTGGATCGACCTCGAATATTCTACTTCGGTTAGATATTTCGGGTAATTACTCGAGCAATCACTAACTAAGGCCGAAGAACAAGCGCAAAGGGAAAACTTGTTTCATACACGTTGCTTGGTCAAAGATAAGGTATGTAGTTTAATTATTGATGGTGGAAGTTGTACTAACGTTGCGAGTAGGAACATAGTCGAGAAACTTGGTTTAGAAGTGCTTAAACACCCGAGACAGTATTCGCTCCAATGGCTTAATGAAACGGGTGAGATGTCCGTCAAAGAACAAGTCAAGGTACCACTAATAATTGGGAAGTATCATGATGAGATCATGTGCGATATTCTACCTATGGACGCTAGTCACATCCTTCTCGGATGACCATGGCAATCGGATCGAAAAGTTCTTCATGATGGCTTCACCAACCGACAAACCTTCGAACACAATGGCCGAAAGACAGCTCTCATCCCGATGACTCCGCACGAAGTCTATCTAGACCAGCTAAGTATGAAACAACGGGCCATCAAACCAACCGAACCAATCGATACAAAGGGCAAGAACAAGGTAAGTAAAAATAGTTTACTCTTTGTTTTCAAAGAAACACTTACTTGTTTAACTAATCCCGTACCGGTGCTACCGAGTAAGATCGAGTTGATTTTGCAAGAGTATAAGGACGTGTTTCCAGAAGACAATCCCATAGGTTTACCACCCATCCGTGGGATCGAGCATCAAATCGACTTCGTTCCGGGAGCCGCTCTACCGAACCGACCAGCTTATCGCACCAACCCGACCGAAACAAAAGAACTCGAGAGACAAGTGAACGAGCTTATGGACAAAGGTCATATTCGAGAAAGCATGAGTCTGTGTGCCGTTCCGGTCTTACTAGTACCAAAGAAAGATGGGAGTTGGCGCATGTGCGTGGATTGCCGAGCCATCAACAATATCACGGTTAAGTATCGCCACCCTATCCCTCGATTAGATGATATGCTTGATAAATTGCATGGTTCTAGCATCTTTTCAAAAATTGATCTTAAAAGTGGTTATCATCAAATCTAGATGAAGGAAGGTGATGAATGGAAAACGGCTTTCAAAACTAAACAAGGATTATATGAATGGTTAGTTATGCCGTTTGGGTTAACAAATGCACCTAGCACTTTCATGAGATTGATGAATCATGTCCTTAGGAAGCATATTGGAGTATTTGTTGTTGTTTATTTTGATGACATCTTGGTTTATAGCAAAAACTTGGAAGATCATGTCATGCATCTTAAACTCGTTTTGGACTTGCTTCGAAAAGAAAAACTTTATGCGAACTTGAAGAAGTGCACCTTTTGCACGGATAACCTTGTTTGTCTAGGCTTTGTTGTAAGTGCAGATGGAATCAAGGTTGATGAAGAAAAGGTCAAGGCGATTCAAAAATGGCCGAGTCCTAAGAATGTGAGCGAAGTGAGGAGCTTTAACGGTCTAGCGGGATTTTACCAACGATTTGTCAAAGATTTCAGCACCATTGCCGCCCCGCTTACGGAAGTTATCAAGAAGGACATTGGATTCAAATGGGAAGATGCACAAGAAAACGCCTTCCAAGCCTTGAAAGAGAAGCTCACTAATTCTCCCGTTCTAATTCTTCCTAATTTTATGAAAACTTTTGAGATTGTGTGTGACGCCTCCGGATTAGGTATTAGAGCTGTTTTGATGCAGGATTACAAGCCCATTGCTTACTTTAGTGAGAAGTTAGGAGGAGCGACTCACAATTATACGACCTACGATAAGGAGCTTTACGCATTGGTCCGCGCACTACAAACGTGGCAACACTATCTATGGCCGAAAAAGTTCGTCATTCATACCAACCACGAGTCTCTCAAGCACTTAAAGGGTCAACAAAAGCTCAACAAACGTCATGCTCGGTGGATCGAATTCATAGAAACCTTTCCATACGTGATTAAGTACAAAAAAGGTAAAGATAATGTTGTAGCCGACGCATTATCTCGGAGGTATGTTTTGCTTACTTCTTTGGATGCAAGATTGTTGGGTTTTGAGCAAATAAAAGACTTGTATGCTAATGATTCTGATTTTAGCAAAATATTTCAATCTTGTGAGAAGTTTGCCTTTGGAAAATATTATCGATATGATGGGTATTTGTTCTTTGAAAATAGACTTTGTGTGCCTCACTCTTCTTTGCGAGAATTGTTTCTAAGGGAAGCTCATGGAGGTGGCTTAATGAGACACTTTGGAATTGCTAAGACGTACAAGGTAATGCAAGAACACTTCAATTGGCCGCACATGAAAAGAGATGTCGAGCGGCTATGTGAACGATGTGCGACTTGTAAGCAAGCTAAGGCTAAGGTTCAACCCCAAGGTTTGTATACCCCTCTACCTATTCCTTTGCATCCTTGAAATGATATTTCTATGGACTTTGTGGTAGGATTGCCTAGGACTAGGAATGGTAAGGATTCCATCTTTGTGGTTGTTGATCGCTTTTCTAAAATGGCGCATTTTATTCCATGTCATAAAATCGATGATGCATCTCATGTTGCTAGCTTGTTCTTTAGAGAAGTTGTTCGTTTGCATGGCATTCCTAAGACCATAGTTTCTGATCGTGATACTAAGTTCCTTAGTTATTTTTGGAAAACTTTGTGGTCGAAGTTAGGAACTAAGTTGCTTTTCTCTACTACATGTCATCCGCAAACCGATGGTCAAACTGAAGTTGTAAAACGAACCTTGTCTACTTTATTGCGTGTGCTCATTAAAAAGAACCTTAAGACTTGGGAAGATTGCTTGCCGCATGTTGAATTTGCTTATAATCATTTGATGCATTCCGCGACTAAGTTTTCTCCTTTTGAAATCGTTTATGGGTTCAAACCCACATCTCCTTTGGATCTAATGCCTTTACCTTTGAGTGAAAGATCAAGTCTTGATGGTAAGAAGAAAGTCGATTTAGTACAACAGGTTCACAAGGAGGCTAAGGAAAATCTTAAGGCTCGAACGAAGCAATACGAGAAGTATGCGAACAAAGGTCGAAAAGAAGTCATCTTCAACGAAGGCGATCAAGTGTGGGTTCATCTTAGGAAAGAGCGTTTTCCAGAAGAGCGATCATCCAAGCTAATGCCAAGAATCGATGGACCATTCAAAGTGCTCAAACGGATCAACAACAACGCCTACAAACTCGATCTCCAAGGTAAGTATAATGTGAATGGTAGTTTCAACGTTTCTGATCTTCAACCTTTTTTTGCAGATAATTTGGATTTGAGGTCAAATCCTTTTCAAGTGGGAGAGGATGATGAAAACATGACCAATGCAACCAAACCACTTGAACCACAAGAAGACGAGTAGCAGCTTGAAGCCGAGGAGCAGCTTGTACCGGAGGAAGCATTAATCGTTCCGGCGGGTCCTCTAACAAGATCAAAATCCAAGAAGTTCAACCAAGCTATCAATGGACTACTCAAGAAGCTAAAGAAGAATCAAGAAGACGTGGCTCAATCCTCCTTCATAGTGATCACGGCTCAAGAGGCTCGGTAAAGGGTTAAGTGCTGCTTATGCACTCTTTTTCCCTTGTCAAGTTTTGTCCCAATGGATTTTCTTGACAAGGTTTTTAATGAGGCCTAAGTAACACTTACAAGCCTCCCTTTATCAGCCCACTCACAATGCCTTGGCTCATTCTCTCTTTTTTATTCAAACTTTGCATTTATTGCTTTTGTTATTTCCAAAACTCTTTGCATGAGCTTGCATGAGTGTGGACTTGTGCATGCTCTTGCATGTCTTTCTTCTCTCACCTCTTCCCCTTCTTCCTCCTCTCCTATATAAACTCATTATAGTTCTCATTTGCAATCATCAAACATTTTAATCAAAAAACCTTCTCTTTTACTTGTTTGATCCGAAAAGTGTGTAATATCTTTTCAACTTGTTTTCTTCTTAGTGTGTAATATCTAAGTTGGATCCAAGCTAGTAGTCTAAGAGTCTTTCATCACTCTTGGAATTACAATTTGTTCCCCTTTCATTCCGCTGCATCCACCCGATCTTGTCTTCATCCCGGTTTATCGTCTTTCCACCGCTTTGTTCCGAATCCATCCATTATTCACCATCAAGTACATCATTTTGAATTCAAAACCAACAAAGTGAGTCCTTGGAGCATACATCCACGTCCAGGAATGTATCATCTTATCTCCATGATTCAAGGTAATAAGTTTCATGGAATACCAATGGAGGACCCATTGGATCATCTTGATAACTTTGATAGACTCTGTAGTCTAACCAAGATTAATGGAGTTAGTGAGGACCTCTTCAAGCTCAGGTTATTCCCTTTCTCTTTTGGAGATAAAGCTCATCTTTGGGAAAAGACTTTGCCTGTTGAATCTATAGATACTTGGGATGATTGCAAGAAGGCTTTCCTAGCTAAGTTCTCCTCTAACTCAAGAACAGCTAGACTGCGGAACGAAATTTCAGGATTCACACAGAAGAATTCACAATCATTCTCTAAAGCATGGGAACGCTTCAAGGGCTACACTACTCAATGCCCTCACCATGGTTTGAAGAAAACCTCACTTCTTAGTACTCTCTACAGAGGAGCATTGCCCAAGATAAGAATTTTATTGGATACAGCTTCTAATGGCAACTTTCTCAACAAGGATGTAGCTGAAGGTTGGGAACTTGTTGAAAATCTAGCTCAATCTGATGGGAACTACAATGAAGACTATGATCGATTTAACAGAGGAAGCAGCGATTCTGAGGACAAGCACAAGAAGGAGATCAAAGCTCTTAATGATAAGATTGACAAGTTGGTGCTTGCTCAACAGAGAAATGTTCACTACATTACAGAAGAAGAGCTTACCCAAATCCAAGATGGGGAGAATCTGACTATTGAGGAGGTGAGCTACCTACAGAATCAAGGTGGCTACAACAGAGGTTTCAACAATTACAAACCCCCTCATCCTAATCTCTCCTACAGAAGCAACAATGTGGCCAACCCACAAGATCAAGTATACCCTCAACAGAACCAACAGACTCAAGCTAAGCCCTTTGTACCGTACAATCAAGGCTACAACCAAAAGCAGAACTTTGGACCTCCAGGTTTCACCCAGCAACCACAAACTACTTCTGCACAAGTCTCAGAGATGAAAACTCTACTTCAACAACTTGTGCAAGGACAAGCCTCATGCTCCATGACCATGGATAAGAAGCTGGTTGAGCTCACCACTAGGATTGATTCCTCTTATAATGACTTGAACATCAAGATCGATGCACTTAACACTAGAGTCAAGAGCATGGAGGGACACATTGCTTCTACTTCAGCTCCTAAGCACCCCGGAGTATGCCCATGCTATCTCCACAGTTCATACTTCTGACACTGAGGACTGTGAGATTCAAGAGGGGGAGGTTTTGAGATCAAGATCAAGACAGGAAATTGAACTCGACTTCTTTGCTCGGCTTGTTGAACGAGCACATGACCCGAGTAACCCAATCCCTATTCCACCTTCCTATTTGCCTGAACTGCCATTTCCAGGAAGAATTGCACAGATTAAAGAAGGGATCTTCAAGAAACACAAGATGATGTTCATCAAGTGCATCAAAGAGTTAGAAAAGAAGATACCCTTGGTTGATACTCCCAAGGAAGTGATTATAGAAAGACTCTAAGAAGTTCAGGAAATAGTTGAATTGAGCTTTGAGTGTAGTGCTATCATACAAAGGAAGGTGATACCAAAGAAGCTAGGTGATCCAGGTTCCTTCACTCTACCTTGTTCTCTAGGACACTTAGTGTTCAACAAGAGTCTTTGTGATTTGGGAGCTTCAATTAGTTTGATGCCTTTGTTTGTTGCAAAGAGATTGGGGTTCAATAAATTCAAGCCTATCTGCATTCACCTTATTCTAGCTGATAGATCAGTGAGAGTGCCTCATGGGATGGTAGAAGACTTACCGAGAAAGATTGGATTAGTAGAGATTCCAACCGACTTTGTGGTTCTAGAGATGAATGAGGAACCAAAAGACCCTCTCATTCTTGGGAGACCATTTCTAGCAAGTGCAGGCGCTCTAATCGATGTGCAAATGGGGAAGATAGATTTGAACCTTGGTAAGAATCACTATATAAGCTTTGACATTTCAAAGAAAATGAAGAAGCCCACCATAGAAGGACAGCTTTTCTTCATTGAAAAAGGAAATTTAGATGATGAGTTGTTGAGTGGGTTGGAAAACTCCATTCTAACTTACCACCTAAGAGAGCCTAAGCAACCGAAGAAGCCTTCTATGATGAAAAGAGGACCTAGCTCAGGGGTAGGGATTAAGGGGAACCCATTGGATGTTGATTCTATTGCTAGAGAACTTAAGGAGCTCAGGAAGGAGTATGAAGTTCAAGAGGAACCCATAGAAAAGTTGGACCTCAAGATGAAAGAATTAAACTATACTATCTTAGAGCTTAAAGAAATGATTAAGGGTTATCCAAGTCCTGAAGTTGAGGAATGGTTTGAGGAACCTGATTTGGGAGAAGGAGACTACGCTACTGATGAGATGAGGCTTACTTTGAGGAAAGATCCAATGAATATTTTTCTCTCCAGCTATCTAGAGAAAATGCAGAGTATGATTCAGACTTTGAGGATTCAGCAAGTGAAGATGAGGACTTCTCAGTTCCTCTCTTCAATCTCTTCTCTACCTAAACATTGTGAGAGTCAAGCTTAGTGACATTGGGAGGAAGTCCCATGTCTATCCTTGTATATATTGCTTTCTTGTTATTTTTAATGTTTTTGATTAAGTGTTTCAGAAAAAATGACCTTTGGGAATTTTCAGGCCACACTCGACTGAACCACTCGGCTACAGGTCGAGTGTGGGCTTCAATTGATCAAAGCCCATAAGTGAACCATACTCGGCCCAGGCCACTCGGTCCATAGTTGAATATGGGCCTCACTTTTCAAGGCCCAGACCACTCGGCCAGAAGCCGAGTAAGAAGAAGCCCACCAAGCCCAACACTGTACTCGACACGCGCGCCGAGTATGTCGGCCGAGTACACACGTGCGAAGTCAACACAATTCAAATTCAAATTTGAATTTGAATCTACTCGACCCCACACATCAAATCCTGCTCCCCAAAGGCCATCAAAGATTCTTCTGCAAACAGTGAAAGCTTGTCTCGTTGACCAAATGAAGGGTGGAGATCTAGAGCGTTTGAAGGGCTAGGATCAAATCTTCTTGCCTATAAACCCACTTAAACAAGCTAAGTCACTCACTCTTTCTCTTTACTCAATTAATTTCGCACTTTGCTACTTCTCTCTAGATATTTCAAGATTTTACTCTCACTTCTCTCTAGAATTCCCAGAAATTGAACCATAATTTCTTACTTTCTTTCCATACAAAGCATTTCAAAACCTCTCTTAAAGCTTTTGATCAGTTGAAAATTTCAAATTCTCTTCTACTTTGACCTACTTTCGGTTCTTTTGGGTGATTATCTGCAGTAACTCACCACAAGACCATGGATTCTGAAGAAGCAAGAAGAAGCAAGAAGAAGAGCCTCTACTCGTGCTGTAGATAGAGGGTTGCCATGATCAACAAGAAATGTCCGGTTTGGAATCAGGAAGCTGTGAGTCCTGGTTTTACTCGGTTGACAGGCCGAGTACAGTGGCTAAGTATGACTCCAGAATCTTCTGTGGGTCGTTCTGCTGCTGCCAGGGAGGAAGTTGCAAGGGGAAAGAGGGTTTGGGAGGCTGAGCCAGCTACAATAGAGGAGGAGCCTATGTTAGAGAGGGAAGCATCTGAGGAAGATGTAGAGATTGCTGAGGAGGTCTTGCCAGTTCTTGTAAGAAGGAGAATGAACAATCCAAGGAAGAAGAAAGAGCCCACCATTGAAGAGCACTACCAGTACCTAATGGAGCTGAGTTTTGAAGGGACAAGATATCTCCATAGGCCAACCATACAAGCATTGGGGATCTGTAGGGATGTTGAATATCTCATGGAGATGGCCAAGCTAGAGACATTCTTTTCCTACAAGTGCGAGGGATACAAGGAGGAGAGCTGCCAGTTCCTAGCCACCTTGAAGCTCCACTTCCATGCCGATGAGAGACAGAGAAGGAACTACATAAAGGGGTGGAGTATATCACATTCATGGTGTATGAAAATCACTAATCCCTTGCTATTGTGCAGCTAGATGTTGTATTCAAGTTCCCTACCAAGTATGGAATCCGCCATAACTTTAACAAGGAAGAGCTCCATGATTTGTGGTTAACAATAGCTGGTCTGCTTCTCTACAAGTCAGCTAGGGCTAAGAGTTCAGCAATAAGGAGTCTTGTGCTTAGGTATCTCCACCTTTGTATTGCAAATGCCTTCTTTCCAAAGAAGACAACCGGCCATGTTATTGAGGGAGAGCTGAAGATGCTTGATCTTACCTTATGCTTCATTTTGGGTTACACAAGGAAGAAAATAGAGATGGAAGGGGATAGGTCTGATACATCTCTTTCGGTGGTGTTGATAGATCATTTGATAAGCTTCTGGGAATATGCAACCGGCATTCTTCAATCCGGTTATGGAGGCACCTTGTGTGCTAGAGGAGTGATCACACCTATTCTTATAGCTGCTGGAGTCTCTCTTCATACTCTCAATGTCACAGCCAATTACATTGATATGGAGCATTTGAGGAAAAAAGGCTTCCTGGATAGGTCAGCTCCAGCTGATCAATTTCAGTTCAAGTTTAAGCACCCCAAGCTAGGTCTCTCTAGGCTAGCACTTCCATGCAAGGAGTACACCACAGTTAGAACTGAAAACAACATTGACTTTGATCCTCCTCCATCAATCTTAGTCAATGTCCATGTGCCTTTCCACGACGAGCCAAGCATAAGGAGTGAGTCACAAGAAGAAGAAGCGGAGTTCAACCAAGCGGAAGCTGAACAGGAAGAACATACTCGACCGAGTACATTACAGCAGGCCGAGTATGGCCAGGCCGAGTACGACCTGTCCGAATTCAGTCGAGCCGAGCAGTTTGATGAGAAGGAGGATTCGTGTGAAGGTGCAGCAAAGTAGTATTTCTTCGAAGATTATGCTGAGTCCGATCAAGAAAGGGATCCCGGCCAAGTACACAAAAAACTTGGAATGCTGAAGGGTCTAGGGAAGTTTCAGAGAAGGTTGATTAGTGGGTTGAAAAAGAAGGTGAGAAAAATGAAGAGGGCAATGAACGGTATGGCTGTTCAAATTCAGGAGCTGCAAAGAAGGCAGAGATCACCACCACCTCCAGCTGAGTTCAGGAGAAGCAACTCGATGAGTGTTGTTGATACCGGATCCCGCAAACTGGATCTCTGAAGTATTTTGAAGGCCCATCAGTTTTCAAGTCCAAGAAGGACCACGTTGCACAAAGGAGATGGTCAAATCTTGACATTAATTTGTAGTTTAATTCATGTAGTAATTACTATGGTCAAATGAATAAACTTGTCATTCAAGTTTATGAATTGATTGTGGAAGTTATTTTGTGAATTAATTCTATAATTAATAGCCAAATAATGGCACATTGGAAGAAGGAAAGAGACCATAAAAGAGAGGTGAAGACTCCAAGAAAAGGGGG